CGAGCAGGCCATTAGGAAGAAGACCGGGTGAGGCAGCATCAAACTGTTGGAGGAAGCTACCCAGGAGGGCCAGATGCGCAACCAGCAGGAGACTAAGGTGCAGTCCCATCAGTAAGGCGCACACCCGTGCACCGCAGTAAAAATAAAATAAAATGAAGAATATTATTATTAAGAGTATTGGCAGCAGTAGTGGTACGTACTCCCAACGTATTAGTGCACTGCTGAAACCCCGTATGGCGAAAATGGCAGAAAGGGGTTAAAAAAAAAAAGATGACGTCAATGACATCCTGGCTACTGATATGCAAATCGGTGCACCAGCTCGAACAAATCTTACCTACTAACTGCAATTTGACTCGACCCGTGGTAAGGGAACCACTGATGCACTGCTGAGAGTGCGTAGGGGCATAAAAGGAAGGGCGGAGAAGTATGTACTGCTCATACTGTTCTACATATCCTCTACCTTCGTTTGGTGGTCCTGCGTACTCCAGCAGTTTCAAGAATTCGACATCCCTAGCCACTTGCACTCCCTCGTAGGTAGCTACTTGATTGACAGGAAAGTAATGATTAGAGGTAGCTTCTACGAGGTCGAGAGAAATATTGAGAGAGGCTGTTCTCAGAGCTCTGTACAAGGACTGGCCCTGTGGAAGCTTGTATTTGATCAGTTGCTGGGTGAGCTGAAAAATGGAGGTTTTCCTGCCACACCCTACGTTGACGACATGGCAGTCGTCGTTGACGAGGACAGTAGAGCCAAACTGAAGACTCGAGCTGAGAGATGTGCTAGTCTCGTTTCAGAGTGGTGTGTGAGAAAAAGACTCAGTATGGCCACCTCAGATCATTAAGACGCAGGTCATACTCATGAAAGGCTCCAGGGACAGGGCTCACCCCATCAACCTTGACATACAGGGAGTGAGAGTAAGAGTGGTGAAGAAGTGACGTACCTCGGAGTGAGGCTAAGAGTGAAGTTTGATGTCACACTTCACCTAGAGTACTTAAAGGATAGGGTTACCCTGTCAATAAATGGACTAATCAGGATAGGGGGTGAGTTTTGGAGCCTCAGATACCCTGCTACGATGATCTTTTATAAAGGCGTCGTCTTACGGATCTTGAGGCAGCAGAAAAGAAGACTGGCCACCATTCAGCAATTGTCTCTGCTGAGGGTCACGAAGACATATAGGATGGTGTCACATGACTCACATAAGAAATGTTGTTAATAAAGTATTTTATTTGCAGTAGTGGGCGTACGTATACCTAACATATTAACCCACTACTGCTGAAACCCCATGTGCCAGAAATGGCAAGTAGGAGGAATAATAAAAAAATAAAGTTAGGCTGCTCACATGGCTAGGAAGAGTGAAGAAGAAATACAGAGGAAAGTATCTGAAGAGGTTCTTCTCAGGACCAAGAGCTGGAAGACCAAGGTTAAGGTGGGCTGACAGAGTGGCAGCAGAAACCTCCAAAGGATCATCAACTGGAAGGCGGCAGTATGGTATATATAGAGGTCATCACCCTTCCTCAGTGATGGTTTGGTGGTGAATTTGCTTTGATGGCACAACAAAGCTCCATTTTTGTGAAAAAAAGAGTTAAAGCAGCCACTAAAACTATCAGGACCATATTTTGGAACCTGTTGTCGAGCTTCTAAATGATACTCTGTTTGCTGGAAGTCATTGGGTTTTCCAGCAGGATTTCGCTCCAGCTCACAAGGTCAGGTCAACTCAGCAATGACTGCAAAACAATATTCCGGAGTTCATCTCTGCCTCGGATTGTCCTTCAGGAAGCCCTGATCTCAACCCACTAGATTATCGGCTTTGGTCAAAACTGGAGAGGATGGCATGCCACTGAGCACTTCATAACTTGGAAAGCCTCAAAAAATCTCTGGTTCGAGCAGTTGAGCACTTTCCTCAAGAAGTGCTGTGTGCTGCTTTTGATGACTGGCCATGGATATTAAATACCTGTGTGTGTCAAGGCAAAAGGAGAAAATTTTGAGTAATTTCTTTTTTGTTTTACTCTTTATAGATATATATTTTATTTTCTAATAAAGTTTTTGAAAAAATTAATTTTTCTGTTGAAATCTGTATATATTTCCTTGTAACAATATTTAAGACTAATAAATAATTAGTTTGTTTAAAGTACTTTTATTTCACTTTTTTCCTCTTAATTGAAGATTGAAGGTAAATAATATTCTTTTCTTTTATTTATTTATTATGTAAATCTGTTTACTTTGTAATTATTATCTGAGGCTCCAAAGACACATGCAAGACTGTTGTACAGAGATTGATCTATTCTTCTACTTGCTCCTTAATACATATACATCTAACAGCTGATATTAAACCTAACGGTAGCTACTCCGGTCCTTAACTTATATATATATATATTTTTTTTTTTCCTCATAATATTTTATTTGTTCTTATTTCTGTGTTTTTATTGCTTATCACTTCATTAATTTATGTTTTCTGTAAATATGGCTTCAATCTCTATTATAAATGTCATTAATTGAGACAGAATGTAATATTTCTCAATAAACAAGTTAAAAAAGAAAACATAAGGATATTGTAGTAGACATCCCCCGGTATTTACTCCTTTAAGTGACATTGTGTGGAGGAATGAGAAGGAATGTATGCAGTAGACAAATTATTCATTGAAAAGTCTAATATCGATAAATAATTGATGGAGAAAGAAGGTTGGAATAGGATGGAGCAGATAGCAACAGCTGGAGAAGGACGCTGGAGAGAAGAGAAGCCTACCACATTGAAAACTAAGAGTATCAAGCCTACAGTTATAAGACTTTTATACATTCATTTATTACAGTTGTCAAAATAAATTGTTTTATTATACAGGAGTAAAAAGTCATTTTATTTAGTTTTCCTATATGCCTCACAATTGAAGAATGACAAACCAGGTGAGTCAATTCATTCAAAGTGTATTTACTTAGTTCCACATTATATATGTATATTCTTATTGTTTCTTGTCACTCAGTGTCACAAAAGGTATTAGATTCCCGAATTCCCAACAACAGTTAAACACCCTCAAAAAGTCTATATCCAGTGCCGGGGTTTTGTTTTAATATTCACGAGTATAAATACCTAATCCCTGACAAGCGGAAGGAATATTTACAATCGCCCATCAAAAAGTTTATTTACAATTAACCTTTAACATGTTATTTACAATATTCATAAATATACTTGGACATCACCGGATTTGCAGACACAAAATCAAATTGATCATGTTGTGATAACACATAAGTAACAAAATAGTATAATAAATGTAAGATCTTATCGTAGGTCAGTTCATGAATTATTAATTGCAAAACTTTGACAAAAACTTAGTATAAAAACAAAAAAACAAAACAGCTTCGGTTCTGAAAACTTTAATTTGGAAAAATTAAAATATCCATTAATTAGAAATTAATTCAAGCAAGAAGTTAGGAATAGGTTTGAAGCTTTCGAATCTTCTTACAAGAATTATGATGATATAGATAAGCTATGGGTAGGGATCAGGGATAATATTAAAGAGATTTGTAACTGGTGACAAGATAAAATAAAATAAAAACAACAAACCGTTTCGATGAAGATATTTTAAACTTGAGTAAAAAAAGAAAAGCTGCTGAATTAAAAGCTCTAAATAACCCTAGCGAAAACAATCTTAAATATTTCCGAGCCTTATAAACAAAGCACGTACATGTATCCAGTAAACTACATTAGATCGGTGTTGTAAAAGTATAGTACCGGTGTGTAATTAGGCTAGGGATGAGATTGGAGCATTTGGAAGAGGGGGAAGAAAAATTGGAGCCCAAACTTAAACTATTGACTACCTGAGGAGGTATATTCATGGGATAAATATTGTTAAGGAAGGAGATGGTCCGGGGTGGTGGTCATGAATAGGCTAAATAGTGGCAAAACTGTTTTATTAAAAGCCAACTAAGTGAAACTCGGAGCTGAACACACCTCCCTGAAGAAGACCTGCAAACTCGGATCGAAACATTGGCTTTTAATAAAATAGTTTTGCCACTATTTAGCCTATTTATGAACGCCATCCCGGGCCATCTCCTTTCTTTATAATGAAACGGTTAACTATTAAATATTAAATATTGTTAAGACATTTTTCACTGTCTTTGGGATAAATTTTATTTTTGAGAGCCTGTTGATATATTTCATTAAATTTTGATTGGAGAGAATCCTAGGGAAATCTAAAAATGATAATATACAAAAATTCCTTAAATCGACTATAACCAACTTACGTATTGTCTGTAAGTCCCATAACAAACTTTCTTTCCTTTTCACCAACTTGAAGGATCCCACACTTTTACAACACCGATCTAATGTAGTTAACCGGATACCTTGCTCTACTCCTAATTGGGATAGCTCCTATATTGGCGAAACCAAAAACCATCTCAAAACCTGCAATTCCCAAAATAAAACAAACATAACTTACTGGAACCCTTCCGCCTCTGAAGGATGAATCAACAGGAGAATTTAGATGGTTCAATAATATTGAATTGTGTGAACTGTATCCAGTCAATATAATTGACATTGTATTCAATAAAATGGATGTGTAAATTTGTTAGGCTTAGTAACGAAAGAATCCCTAAAAGGTTAATATGAGCTGTGCCAACTGGTAAACATCTGAAGGAAAGTTGCGCTAAGGCTGATTTGGTGGGGCTGGGTTTGGATGGTGGCCAGTGGAGGGAAGTGTGTAGAGAGCGATTGGTGGTATCAGTATCGAACCTTCAGGTTCGCTAAGCCTCTTATTATTATATCATATTTTATATGATTGTTTATACATGTAATATATATGTATTTATAATTTAAACAAAATTAATTATTTTGTAGTGAGATCCTGACGATGGGGCTAAACTTTGATAAAACTTATTTTAAATAAAAAATACACAAGGAAGAGAAGTAATGTTTACTTCCTATTAAAAACATTAAATAATTCTTTCTAATTTTGAATATTTTATTAAAAACTTTTTGGTTTTAGATATAATGGATTTAACAATACCATTGAAATATTTACAATTTTAATACACAAGTTTCAAAACAATAATAGAAGTCATCCTTATATTAAACCAATAGTTTTAAATAAAGAACAACTTTGTGTGTGTTTATACATTTATACATAAATGTAATGACAAACTGTTACATTTGAAAAATTCGATGATAAAACTTTTATTAATATGAAATTCGTATAAACTCTGATTATTTATTTACTGAAAATAGTAAACTGTAGTAGTAATGTCTACTTACTTTAATTGAAACAATTAACTAATATTAAAGAAATATAACATTTTTATTACATTATTGACCTCAATTTATAAAATCATTTTTTTTCTGTTATATAGTGATAAGCATTTAGTTCCTGAACTGATTAATGATTAATACTGGTGATTAATTATTATACATCTTAAAGCTTAATTTGTGATATTTTGAAAATCCACAATACCATAAATTATTTTAATAACATTTAATAAAATCAAATGTTTTCAGTTCAAATGACAAATGAAAAACACAACTCCTTGTAGTAAAATGTAAAACTTAAAAGAATGTTACATACATCATTACTTCAAAGAGCAGTTTCGATTTAACTTCTATTGATAACATAGGTAGGCAGTTAAAAATATAAATATTTAAAGTTGTTTGAGATGGCAAATGACAATCAGGATGTAATTACTTAACAACCTCAAATAAATAAAACTAAAGTTTATCATTTGCTCTATCTAAACCCAAACTGAAAATCAACTAATAAATCCTTATTTTAAAATTAAAGTAAGAAATAAATACCCAATAAACTATTATACTTTTTTCTTCGTTTTTTTTTCTTTCTTTTTTACAAAATATAAAAAGTAGACAGAATTAATTTTTGGTTGAATCAAAAACTATAGACAGAGTAGTGGTTCTCTTTAAAAAATAGTTTATCACTTTTTATCAAAAATTTGATGCATAATATCTAGGATATCATTGCCAGAGATGGTTTGACATAGAAGATTTTTGGTATTTTGCAGCACCACCATTGATGTTCAAGCTGGATAGCTGTTGTGATAAATCCTGAAACAAAACATACAAAGCTCGATATTATATGGCCTTGGACATCTATTTATAGATCACTGTTGTAAATGTATTTCTATTTGTAATCTATTAGCAATCACTAACTTATTGAAGGAAATACAATAGTTGAACTAATTCAACGAGATTTAATGGTATTATATACAATAATCTTATTGCACCAGTTTCACAATTTGGCTTATGCTAAATATTTCCAATGATAATTGAAACAATTTACAATGTTAAATAAAGTTAATAAGAAAAAACAACAACAATTAAATGTTCAAATTCCTTTACTTTGATTCCCTGATAATAAGTAAAATATACATGTGTGGTGGAAAAAGAAGCAATAATAGGTTTATTGTGCATAATGCTTATATTGACAATTATGTGAGGGTGAATTAAATAAAAACAGTAATTATTTTTTATACATTTATTGATTAATGCTTTACTCAAACCATACTTTCAGTGTTTCTTAACACATATTCGTCTGGTAAGTTTTTGCTCCGCTATTCCCAAAATGATAACATATCTTTAAGTCTGTTTGGTAAAAATTAGAATTTAATTTATTTAGAATTAAAAGAATAAGAATCAATTAAATTTAGGTCGGAGATGAATAAAACAAACAAGAATAAATTATTTTCTGTAATATATATGTGATGAATTTTCGTCATATGGCTGAGTGATTATTAGTGAAATGACAAAGTTTTGTCATGCGGACCAATATGTGTTAATATAGTCTCCTGTGTGCTCTGCACACATTTACCAGAAATCTGGAAGCTTAAAGCCAGGTTTCCTTGAAGCTGAACCAATTGATTCCTGAATAAGGAACCAAATTGATCATGTACTGATAAGATTTGAGAAATGCCCTGCACATTTTGGACATACGAGGCTTCAGAGGAGCTGTTGCTGATAGTGTAAGGTGACCAGACTTCCCGCTCTTGGCGGGACAGTCCCGATTTTTGGAAAGAATGCACAAGCTAGGAATGGCAGGAAAACGGGAAAAGATTATACAATTTTACAAGGCCACATAGCTATTTCCCCAGGATATAAGTTCTATATTATTTTTGTTGATTTTATAATGTTAAACTTTAATATTAACGAATAATTATTAAGAAACTGATTATCTAGAAGAGCTTAGCAAAGTTCACATTATTGATCAATAGTTAGAATTCGACCACCATTGTCTGGACTGGCTCTTAATGATAATAAACAACAAGAAAATTATCTTTTTAATGATGTATCATTATTAAAAAAATATATTGATAAGGATAAGGTTAAATCTTGGGCATCACAGCAAATTAACGTCATTCAATACTTCAATTACCGAAATGTTGCCACCTTCAATAAGTTTTAAACATTTTGAAAAAGAGCTATTTGATTGTATACAAACTGCTGGCACAAAACATTTAAGTCTTTAAAACTGTGTTATTATTAAAATCATAAATTAGATGTTAAATACGTCATCAATAATTCATTCTCAAAAATACGCCTTTAAAACTAAATTATCAACCTTATTTAACCTAAATACTATGTCACCTGATTAACATTTGCACCTGATTTCCATAATGTAAAATTAATTGTAAAAACAAATTTGAACTATTGTTTGGACTTAATGAACCAAATTTTTAATCAAGAACCTCTGCCCCACCCCCAATGGGGTGTCCCGTTTTACCAACTAATCCTCCCCCTCCCCCAGTCAATGGGGTCCCACTTCATCAATGTTAAAAGCTGGTCATCTTACGATAGTGACCACTTCCTTATCATAGCCAAGCAGATTGCTCGAAGAAGATTTGGACAGGATAAGCCAGTAGTATCGTATGATATGCAAAAATTAAAGGACTAAGCGATATGAAATGAATTTAAAGACTTAGTATATAAGAACAGGGCCACAATAACAATGCCCTTGTAGGATTTGTTTGTGGAAGAGCAATGAAAATTCGTAAAGGTCATTGTTAGAAAAGCAGGAGAACAAGTCTTAGAACAATGACTAAAAGCTCTTAAGGATGACTGGTTTGTTGAAGAATGGCAAGACAATCCTTTACTCTCAAAAGAGAGAGGAGGCTAAGAAGCTTTGCAAAAGAAAAAAAAGGACAAAGGAGAATGAGAGGCTTGGAAAACTGGAAGGCCATTACAAGGCCAAAGAAACAAGAAATTTTATAAAGGTGTAAAAGAGTTCCAGAATGGATTTACTCCAAGATCTGACTCCACAAGGGATGAATAGAGTAACCTACTTTATGACAAAGAGAAAGTTCTAGTTAGCTGGTAGAGGTACTTTGAGGAAGTATTAGGAGTGGAAGAAAAGGTGCACCACTCGATAGGCACAAGGGACCATTTAGAGAAGGAACTGGAAGAAGAAGGTATTCCACCTGAAATGGAGGAAATAATTGAATTATCTTAAACCTTAGAAATAATAAGGCACTGGGAGGAATGGTATATATAAAAAGAGGAGGGTTGAAGGCGAGGATGGCGTCCCACCTTTGTCACTACTAAGATGTCGGCAAAGGTCAATAGTAATATACTTGTGAGGACCCATTCGAATGCGAGGAGCCACCCAACCAATGCCTAAAGTAGTAATTGATAGAAGGGCTCTGAATAGATAATACATAAGGCACAAAAAGTACAACAATCTTTGTCTGGGAACTTGGAATATTCGAAGGCTACTCACTCCAAGCAGGCACAAGCAAAGGTATAGAGAAGGAATTGGAGAAATCTGGCAGATATACAAGAAAGACGCCAGAAAAAAGGTTAGAAATTATTGCTGAATATCCTTCCTTGGAATAGTATACAGTACTCTCTATAACGGCCAGCAGAAAATGAGTAAAATGGGCTAAGAAAGTTAGTAAGAGAATACCAAGTAGCCCAGTAAAATTTAACATGTTACTGCAGCGAACCCACAAGCCTTTCAAGAGTGGAAACTTGGATTTTTTATATTCACTACATACCTAACAATATAAAAAAAGAAATTTAAATTAATCATATCTATGATTTTATTTATATTCTTTTTAAATGTTTTATACATAAAATAAATGTTAATAAGTTAATTTTATAATTTTTTTTTGGCTGAATGCAGATTCTGGTACACATGAATCTCTGTCTACTAAAAAAATTAATGTATATTTTGCTCCTTTTATATATACATACACACACACACACACATATATATATATATATATATATATATATATATATATAATTAAATTGGGAGTCTATAGTGTTGACATTGAACTGTGCCACATTGCTAATAATACCTGTCTTTTCTCTCCTTTTTGTGTGGTTGTAGTGTAAAGTGTTCAATAAGTTTTTGAATATAAATTCATTAGTGATTAATCAGCAGTTGAGTGAAGTTTGGTGAGATAGTATTGTGAAACAGAAACAATTGGATCGATACAAGAAATCAATAAACTATCAGTGAGTTTGCATGGCCATTAACAGTAAGCCAAGTGCGCATGCCTGCCCGTACTGCTCTGTTCTAATCGTAATCTCATTACACGTTTGTCAGTATCACCTGTGTCTTAGGAGGGTGTATCTCACTGCTTTCTAAAAACTCATTTAATCTATAACCATGACTATTACCAATGAAGACATCATGCAAGCTATAAAGGAAATGAATGCAAACATAGAAAAAAATAATGCCATAAATGCAGAGCTAATAAAGGAGTTGGAATCAGTAAAGAAAAAATGCGTTTGCTTAGAGGAAAAAACTAACCAATTGCAACAAGAAGTTAATTTTTTTGTGGTTTGAGGGTGATCTCGGTCAAATCATCTTCTTGCACAACCGTAGATCAAGAAATAGTGCTTTTCCTAAATAGTACTGAACCCAAGACACCAACTTCATGGGTTGTATTTTTTTTTTTTTTAAATAATAAAATTAATAAATGTAAACATGTACAGAATTAAAATGATGCTTTAGTTGTTTTATCATTTTTCCATCCATCTAAAAACAATATATATAGAGTCTGGCCAGAGACATCCATCAGTTAACATACCTTTGTATTACTAAGTGTTTCATTTTGTTTAAATTTCTTTGATTTCTGCCATTTTTTTTTCTTTTTAATTTTCTATATCACTAGAAATTATAGACATTTCGTATTTCCTCTCTACTCATCGAAAAGTGAAAGTATTGAAGTTTTTTATACTATCACGAGCTACAGGATAGTGGTAAACAACTGAGCTCTAGAGGATTAAGCCCTGCTGTTGCTCTTACGCATCATAACAACCCTTCTTGTTATTGTAAGTACGATCTATTTACTATATAACAATATGGCACGCACATTGCCTGCTATGCAGCAGCACCATCGGTCGAGAAGAGAAAAATATTTTATTTTGTGCTAAATGTAAACTATTATTTCACAGCAGGTGCAGCAAACTCAGTGATAAAGAGTTTGAGGCTCAAAAATCCTAAAAAAAAAAGGATAGATACGTTCAAGTTGCAATCAGCCAAAAAGATTCCACCAGGTGGTGAAAACCCAGATCAAAGTCGCAATACTGAGCCAACACCATCAGAAATTCTGGCAGCAATAAAGCAGCTTGATAATTATTTTAATCAGGAAATAAAAAATATTAAAGTAGCTCTAGACAAGTGCAGAGACCTGAGCTTCGAAGTAAATACTAGGTTATCTAAAATTGAAAACTACTTGGAGGGACAAGCTAAGAATCTTGAAGAAATAATTTCAGAAAATAAAGCCCTCAAATCTAGAGTCGATGAAGTGGAGGTCAGACTGTATAAAGCCGAACAAGGCCTGCTTAGTAGATCGCTTGAGATCCGGGGCATCCCAGTTCGAGCAGGAGAGACCCCTACAGCCCTGGTTTCAAGTATTGGGGTCGGCCTGGGTATCAAACTTAATGTTGAAGACATACGACAATGTGCAGTGCCGAAGAGCCAGAAAAGACGGCCCGCGACCACTGCCTATCATCGTGAAATTCGTCAGGCAGTCAGTGAGAGACGACCTGGTGCAGAAGCGAAAAGTATAAAAAAAAAAAAAGGTACTTAAAAAAGGGAC